ACAAAAATGCAGTCCTCAAACCCTGTCAGGCTAATACTTATGTCCTGGGGTCCACAAACACCCGGCACGTCCATACTTTTCCAGGGCACTAGTGTTAAGGGTGCACTGTAGGCCAAGGCAGCCCAGGAGGAAACCCAGTTTCCCCAGAGGCACCGCCCTGGTGGGGAAGCATTTGGGCCATGATGGAGAAGGCAGGTCAGCAGCACCTGGAAGGTCTTCAGTCTGAGTATGCCAGCTCCTGGACCAGTGTGGAAACTGAGCCCCAGCAGGTCCTGCAGATTCGAGGGAGGGTCTCTTTTTGGGACAGCCCAGATTCAGACCCTCAGAGACTCCCAAGGCCTCTCCCCAGTCAGTGTCTGTGCAAGGACGACAGGGACAGAGAGTCCACTCTGTGGGGCCTGTGCCCATGCTGTGCCCTGGGGAGCCCAGTGGGGAGCACCAGGAGTGCTGCCTTTCTTGAGGCCCACCTCTCCAGAGCTGGACCCTGGCCAGTCCACCCATTCATCTGTCCCAGGTCTACACTCACCTCAGCAATCCCTGGAGGCCCCGCTGTAGCCCAGGTGACACCAGAACCAAGCTGCAGCAGGGGCGGGAGCTGGCAGCACCAGCGCTGGTCTCGCACCCTGCTACTCCACCACAAGCAGGTTCAGGCAGTTGCTCATCACATCCCAGCAGCTGGCCTCCCTGGTGGCACAGAGGATTAGGATACAGCCTCTGAGGTGGTCGGCAGCCTCTGCAGCAGCCAGGAAACAACTCACATGGTGTAAGAGACCTCTCCTGTCTCTCCCACTGCTCCCCTCAGCAGTGTATTTCAGTCAGTCTACCTGTTCTGTTCCTCTGTCTCTGGTGAATCCTCTCACCTCCCTCATCTCTGGCTTGTTATCCAGCCCTTGTATGCATAAATAAATGAACCTATAAAAAATAAAAATATAAAAAAAGGTCCAATCAGACTTGTGGGTGGGGCACCCTGAGACAAGATATTGGCCAGGCCAAAGAGGCTTTTGAAGAATTGAAGGGCAGTCCATTTCTGGCCTCCCAGGAAAAAAGAAAGATGAAAGACCAGAAGCTGACTTTGAAACAAGAAAGAAGAAATGAAGCATCCAGCAGCCAATTTCCCAGGAGCGAGAGAAGCCAAAGACATCTGTCAGAGACTAGGCCTCCCGTCCTGTCTCTCCACCACCGGAAAGGAGAACATTGTGAAATTTTGCATTGTTGACTTTAAAATATAAGGGTCCTGAATGAAAACAGAGTGAGGAATCAAAAATAATAGAATGAAATAATGGATACAGAGAAATCAATGAGTCCACAAGAAGACACAAGACAGACTCCCCAAATGGTGTGTAAGGGATAGAAAGGAAGAACCCCACAATTAAACCTTGTTGACTGTCCTTCATGGTCTCCAAGGAGAGGAGAGGGGCTCCCCTTCAGGGGTGGGTATCTGGACAACCCGACCTGGAGCTGCTCAGACTGAGGGTCTGGGACCTGGCTCCATCCTCCTGCCTCCCATACCTGGGCGGGAAATGGGGGTTTCAGTCCCAGAAAATTTTACAATATGCTCCCAAACTACATTGTAAGTCTCCAGGAATAAAAAACACACAGACCTTGGAACAGAAAGGAGAGCCCAGAAACCGCTTCCCCAGAAACATTCTCAGCAACTAAGAGGAGGCAGGAGCAAACACGGGGAACTTGCTTCCATCAGTGGAGCCGGAATGTGGGGTTCCTGCTCAGGAATGAAACTGAACCCCTGGTAACTTCATGCCAAAAAAATGTACCCCCATGTTTCCCCAGTTCTCCACACCCAGCCCTCCCTCCCCTGGGTCCTCTGACTGGATCCCCTCAGCCATCAGCCACCCCCAGGAACATGTTCCTCAATTTTCCCTCCCTCGGGCTCACCTCCACCTCTTGGGGTGCAGCCAGGGCCCCACACCAGATCACAGATGCCACCTGGCACCATGTCCTGAATGACCAGATTCCCACCAGCAGGAACTTCACTCAGAGACCCCAAGAAGCAGCGACGCCAGGTGAGCGAGGCTGCTGGGTGGAGCGCACATGTATGGCCAGGGGAGCAGGGGTAGGTGCTGGGCAGGTGCAGGTGAACAAGACTGGACACACCTGGGCTCCCTCCCTGGACTCCTGCCACAGCGTGACAATTTAAACATTCAAGTGAAATGGAGGCAAATAGCCCATGTCTTCTCCAAAATTAAGGTCAACTAAAACCTCATGAAGCCTTAAAATGCCAAAACTTGTCTACTTGGATTTAATAGCTCACTGCTCCTCCTCCCCCTTCACTCCTGCTTCTCAGCTTTTCCTCTTCTCCCCTCCTGGCCAGGAGGCAGCAGCCTCCACCCTCATCTCCTTTACTTTGCCCTGCAGCCCCTCCTCCTCCAGGGTCTCAGTCTTGCCCCACATCTGTGTCATCTTTGTGGGCTTTTGTCATTTGAGCCTCCCTTCTCCCCACGCAATGCACCCCTCCTGTCTCTGCCCTTCCTTCCTAGAGGCTCGTCCTTCCCTCCTCTTTCTGTGCTCCCTGATCTTCAGTCACTTCTCTGTGTTTCATTTGGGCTGGACCCTCCCTGTCTGTCTTGATCCTGCCATTCAGCTCCTTGGCCTGCTCCTCCTCCCTCTCTCCTCTGCACTGTGCCCTCCCAGCCTGTCCCTTCCCCTGGGCTCTGCCCTCATTATTCCCCACTGTGACCTTCGCCGTCATCACCACCAGGTGGCGCGCTGTGCCATTTCCCTGTGCTTGTGACCCAAGACCCTTTAAGTTCCCTGGACCCTCCACCCTTCCTCTGTCCTTCATTCATGATCTACCCTCTTATTGCTACACTTCATGAAATGGATAGACAGTCATTGTTGAACCATCCCCTAGGATTTTCATTTACAGTGTTTCCAAACATCTGTTAAAATGAACAAGGGGCTGGTTAACATTTTTTTTTTAAAGATTTACTTATTTGTGCATAAAAACCTGGGCTGTTAGCCAGAGGTGAGGGGGTGTGTTGAGTGGATTTGCCATAGAGAGTGGGAAACAGAACAGGCAGATCTACTGACATACACTGCTGAGGGGAGCAGCTGGTGAGTCAGGAGAGGTCTGCTGGGCCATGTGGGTAGCTCCCTGGCCAGGTTTCATACTCATGTTACAGGGGCTACAGATAGCTTCATAGATTGTGTCTTAACCCCTTGCGCCACCTCTGCATACATGTCCATAGCACACTGTGCAAGCTAGGGTTTCTGAATTAGGTTATGATGCTAAATTTTCACTTTTTAGTGGCTTGGAGTGACAATGTTAATCTTTATGAAACTTTGCAGTAAATTATTAAGATACTTAGCAATATGTCAGAAAACACAATGAATGCTCAGGAACAACATGGTATTGCATTTGATTCATTTATTTATTTTGGCATTGTATTTTATAAGTGTAAATTACTGAGAAAATTTGAAATGAAATGCCTTGGCTAAGTAAGGAGTGCCACAGTGTGGTCACAGCAGCTAATTTCATATAAACTTTGGCCAAAGATTCATTTAAGCTAAGATAGGATTATTTTGTTGCTACTAAAGCTACTTCTATATTTAACAAAGAACATTATTTTTGTATTATTTTACATTTCTCTTCCTTATATAATTTTCTTAATCTGTCAATTGCTGAATTTAAAGTTTTCCCTTAAACAAGATTAATGTCATTATTAATAATAGTCACACTACTGGAAAATGGTTAAGCAGTTATTAAAATTTCATTTTATCTGATTTCAGTTCCCAAACTTTTAATAATCTCTAATCTAAACTAATGATTTTAAACTAAAGAGGTTTTTCACATTCACAAAAAGCATAAGAGACTCAGGAAGGTGAATACTCTGTAGCTGGGTCTTTTCCAGCACCTGAATTTCTTTTTTTTTTTTTTTCCCCAATCGCTCTTTCTTCTCCTCACCTTGTATTTTTTTTTACATTTTATTTAAATTTTATTTTTATATTCCCCATACAATTACAACCCCGTATTTTGACCCCAATCCCTCCTTTCCCCGCTCCCCACCCCCCATAGAGTGTCTCTGGTTCATAGTTGTTTGTTGATTTTGATATTTTCTTTCTTACAGTTATTCTTTTTCCTGGTCCGTTATTAAGTTTTCTAGATTCCTGCTATGAGTGAGACCATCCGGTATTTTTCTTTTTCTTTCTGGCTTATTTCGCTGAGCATGATCCCTTCTAGCGCCATCCATGTTGCTGCAAATTGCATGTGTTTATCTTTTTTGAATGCTGAGTAATATTCCATGGTATATATGTACCACATCTTCTTGATCCAGTCATCTATTTTTGGGCTTTTGGGTTGTTTCCAAAGCTTAGCTATTGTAAACAGTGCTGCTATAAACATAGGGGTGCAGGTGCTCCTTGGAATTGATGTTTCTGTGTCCTTTGGGTAAATACCTAGGAGTGGAATAGCTGGATCATATGGAAGCCTTATGTTTAGTAGGTCCAGAAATCTCCACACAGCTCTCCATAGTGGTTGGACCAGTTTGCACTCCCACCAACAGTGCAGGAGAGTTCCTTTTTCTTCACAACCTCGCCAACATTTGTCGTTGCTAGTTTTTTTAATATGTGCCATTCTCACTGGTGTAAGATTGTATCTCATGGTAGTTTTGATTTGCATTTCCCTGATTACAAGTGATGTTGAACATTTTTTCATATGCTTATTGGCCATTTGCATTTCCTCTTCAGAGAAGTTTCTTTTTAGCTCTTCTGCCCATTTTTTGATTGGATTATTTTATTTGTTTTTGTTGAGTCTCATCAGCTCTTTGTAGATATTTGTGATCAGTCTTTTATCATTAGTGTTGTGTGCAAAAATGTTCTCCTGGTTGGTGGGGTTTCTCTTTGTTTTGGTTATTGTCTCTTTTGCTGTGCAGAAGCTCTTTAATTTGATGTAGTCCCAGCTGTTTATCTTTGCCTTCCCTATCACTGCTTTGGGTGATGTGTCTGTAAAGATGTCTTTGATGACAGCACCTGAATTTCTGCAGCAGTAGCCAGACCCAGGAAGGTGTGGAGAAGGCCCAGAAGACCATGTGATTTGATCACTTGTGATTTGATCAGCTGTGGACCTTGCCGGACTCTAACTCCTGTGCTCAGAAGTTCACGACAAGGTGGAGACAGGTAAGTAAAGCAACGCCTGGACAATGAGTGGTGCTGAGTCCTGCGCAGGGAGAGCAGAACTGCAGGGGAAGCCACAAGCGCTGTCCCAGGCCTTAGGTTGAAGGGCAGGGTATAGGTTTGGCAGAGCAACTGACTCCTGGATTTTTGAGAAATTCCAGGCCGAGAACAACACGTATAAAGGCACGATCAAGAACGTGCTAAAGGTCCTCCCGGGTGGTAGAAAGGGTTAAGTCTCAGCACTATAAAGCTGTCTGCAGCCACTGCAGCATGAGTTCGGTCCCTGGCCAGGGAGCTTACCGATGGGCGCAGCAGACCTCTCCTGTCTTGCCTGCTGCTCCCCTCAGCAGTGGATTTCAGTGGATCTACGTGTTCTGCTCCCCACTCTGTCTCTGGTGAATCCTCTCATCCCCCACACATCTGGCTTGTACCACAGTTCTTGTATGCATAAGTGATAAATCTTAAAAAAAAAAAAAGGACTTGCTAGAAGCTGGCAGTTGATTCTCTCTAGTGCGTTGGACAGCTCATTCATGTCCAGCTTTTCATGATCTCTTTCCCATAACTGTGTGAAATTACTGTATATCTCTAAGTTGCTTTGTGGCATAAAACAAGGGGAATATGAGTTGAACGCATTATGGAAAGCAATCTGGATTTACTTTTAAAAATGAAAAATTGAAATACACTACAGCCCAGTAATTCCATTCTTGGGCAGATATCCACAGAACAAGAAACCCCTTATGTTCCAGGGTTCACAGCAGCATTATTTATAATAGCGTGGACACAGAAGCAGCTTAAACGTCAATAAATACATGATAGGGTCAGGAAGACTGTATTTCCACACCAAGGAGTGTCAAAGAGTCGGAAGAAAGGTGAAATGCAGCATTTCTAACAAAATGGAGACAATTACATGCAGCGAGGTAAGTCTGAATGATAAAAATGAATATTGGACAATTACAAAGTAGACAATTCAATAATGTAAAACAGTTCCAAAAGGAGTGGACATTAGGTGCCTCCTTGGTGGTGCAAGGGGTTAAGACGTAACCTATGAAGCTATTCGTAACCTCTGCAGCATGAATTCGATCCCCAGTCAGGGAGCTACCCACATGCACAGCAGACCTCTCCTGACTCTCCCGCTGCTCCCGTCAGCAGTGTATTTCAGTCAGTCTGCCTGTTCTGTTCCCCACTCTGTCTCTGATGAATCCTCTCACCCCCCACCCCACCACTCTGGCATGTACCCGGGTTCTTGTATGCACATATAAATAAATCTTTTAAAAAAATGAATGCACATTTAACACCAAGATGGCTTGAGGCTAAAAGGGAGAAGGCAAGGGATAGGGGACAAAAGGGGAGGGCAACAGAATTCTCCGGACACTTCACAGTGATTTCTTTTCCTGGTTTATAAAATGTAAGAATAGGGCCTCCCCGGTGGCATAGCGCATGAGCACTGGGCTGTAAAGCTGCCCCGCAGCCTCTGTTGCGCTGGTTGGATTACCCGCCGCTGGCGAGGGTCCCCCATGGTGAGCAGACCTCTCCTGCCACGCCCACTGCTCCCCTCAGCAGTGTATTTTGTCAAGTCTGCTTGTTCTGTTCCCCGCTCTGGCTCTGGTGAATTCTGTCATCCTCCCGCGCTTCTGACTGTACCCAGTGCTTGTATAAATAAATAAATAAATAAATCTTTTTTAAAAATTTAAAAAATGAAATGTAAGAATAAAATCAAAATAGAAGTTCAACTTGTATTTATTTATTTTTGGAACAGATGCTATGTCCACAGGGTTAAAAAAGTGAATGATCACAAAAAGGTATAGGTGGGAGGACCTCCTCATCCTGTCTTAGGAAAAGGTAAGAATGGTTGAGCCACTTATTTAAAAATTAGTTATATTATTGTAATCCAGTTACATAATAATGATATTTCATCCATGATCCTAAGTGCAGGCATGTCCTGAAGCTAGTTCACTGGAGCTACAGAACCTCATCGGCATTAAACGACTGAAGCACAGGTGGACAATTTCTGGGAGAATGCTGCCATCCAGTGGCATAATTGAGAAGTGCACTTATATATGATTTCCTGTTTCTATCCTGAAAATGCTTGTTTTATACATTGAGTGAGTATTTTCCTATTCACTAAGAAACAATTTTGTTTTTAGTTTCAGTTTAGGGGACTCAAACAATGAAAATGTACAGCTTTCCACTTGATTCTCAAGGAGGTAACTTGTGTAAAGAAAAATAAGATCCACAAAGACCTTTTATTTGTTAAAGGTTTATTTGTTAAAGGTTTCATATAACTTTTCTCGTTTGAATCTTCTTTTGAGAAAAAGAAAATAATTTTCCCTATTTTTAGATAAAGAAACAAAAGTATAACAGTAAGTAATTCACTGACGATTGTCATGCAAAGAAGTGACCCAAGTCAGGAGGACTTCAGGTCTGGTCTCCTTTTTTTTTTTTTTTTTTTTTTTGATGCTTTAGAGACTTGTCATGGTTCTCATTCCTTATCAAAGTTAAGGGAATGCATATAAGATCTCTGAAGGAAGTTTGAAATTTGGAAGGTGTAGGTTTTCTTTTCTTCTTTTGTATTCACTTTGTTTTATTATTATTTATTTCTGCACAGGTGCCAACTGCTATAGCAAGTGTCAGACACTCTGGGAAGTACCCGGGGCACAGACCAGAGGAGGGGTGTGGAGCTGGGCCTTGGTGGAGAATCACTGGTCCTCACAAACCAACCTAGTCACATCCTAGAAGTGAGCAGGTTAACAAAAGTCAACAACTCCACAATGGGATGAGCCTTCCCACAGAGAAGACTCCTGCAGGGCAATCTCTGTCCCTTCAGGGGCAGCTGCCTCCTGCCCTCCTGGGCCCATCGGGGGCTTCTCACTGCCAACCTGCCACTTTGCAAGCAGCAGAGCAGCTCCTCCCGAGGCGGCTGCTGGGGCCACACAGGCCCCTCTCAGCAAACCAGTCCCTTTGGGGGCAGCCCTTTCTGCCTGCTGTGTCTGTGCGGTGTCCTTGTTCTCGCTCCCTTTATAATAAACTTGCCCTTCTGGATCCAACTAAAACTTCTGTCTCGAGAAACTCACTGGTGCTGCTGAAAGGGGAGCTCTGGGGAAACTTTTTCCAGAGTTAACCCAAGGACCCCACTTTCCAAGCCCAACACTCCCAACACTCTCCACACAGGCTAAGGTAACAACGGGCTCCAGGCTGCGGTGGGAAGAGGAGGTCAGAGTCCAGTGGTCTCCCTAGGCTGAGACAGAAAACAGTTTTGAGAAGCCAAGGTGGCTCGACTCTGTGCAGGGAAAGACCCAGGAGGACACAGCAGAGAGGGGGTTCCTAGAATATGAGGGACTCCTGGGGAGCTGGGTAGAGTCTGAGAGGATCCTCACATGCACCCAAATCATCAAGGGCTGGGGGGGGAGGGATGAGAAAGGGGGAGAGAGAGAGAGAGACAGAGAGAGAGAGAGAGAAGATGGAGAGGAGGGAGAGAGGGAGGAGAGAGGAGAGAGAGCATGCGCTACCGACTGCACTAGAAGAAACAAGCCCCCTAGCTCAGGGCTGGAAGTGTGAGTGTTTCCCGGAGCTGAAGCCGAAATGTCCTGCCCTGTGGGACACTGAGTAGAGTCCTGTGAGCGGGGAACAGTTTTAATAGTGAAGCCATGCTGGGCATAAACCAAAGTCTGATCTCATCTATCTTCACAAAGTAAATCTTGAGAAGATGGAACTGCTTTTAAGTAACACCTGCAGCCCAGAAAAAAATCACACTGCCACTTGTAGGGCGCTGAGTGCTCAGACTTTCCCCACTTTCCCACCGCGAAGTCTCCAGCTGCCACCTGCGCCCTACGCAAATGTGCTTGGGAGTGTGGGCTCGGGGCACAGGCACCTTTGAGTGTGGGCACCTGGGCCCAGACTGCACGGGGGATGCGGGGCATGCGCAGAGATAATTGGGAACACCTGTGCTGGGGTGAGGGCTTAAAGGGCACCGATACTCAGATACAGGGAGGAGACAGCCTGAGAAATACTGGGAGAGAAGCCTGGTCTGTCCCGATTCAGCTTTAAATGCCCACAAAAATCTATCGGTCTCCAAATTATCTTTTCGTTTGCGAGAACTGACCTTGAACCTACCTGGCCTGGGATGGTTGCAAAACACCACTGTAGGGTAAGGAAAAATGTCAGGCTTTTCTGCCCTCCCGCCATTAGGACAGATGATGGATCCTTGCGGTCCTGAATGCATGCCTGATGGCGGGCACCTGGAGTAGGGTGTGGGCAAGGAAGACCCAGGCTGCTGAGAGGCTGCACTGCTGGGTCCCCAGGACTTCTCTGGAGCAGGAGACTAGGAGCCAGATCTGGAGAGGCCGGTGGTAATTGGAAGAAAACACACATCTGCCAGCCCATAAGCCGACGAAAATCAAGGCATGGCTGGTGGGCCTTGGTGGCCAAAAGCACTGCCTGGCACTTCCAGGGCCACAGCTCTGGCAATGGCCAGAGTAGAGGAAGGGGTAGGCATGAGAAGAGCTGAAGATTGGCTGACGGAAGAGCCCTTGCCAAGTTCTCTGCAGCCAGGCAGACGAGATGTGCGAGAAAGCCAGCTTAGATAAGGCAAAAGCTGGTGCTGAGATTGGGAAGCCCTGAGCAGCTGTTAAGCAGCCTAAGTATGTTAAAGAAGTCCAGTGAGTCTCTAAAATCACCTCTGGGTGATGCCCTCTTTGTTGTTGAGGGTTAGGAGCTGAGGAACCCATCCTTGGGAGATGGGTGGGAAACGAGACTTGTGGTGTGGCCCAAGACCAAGAGGGGACCCAAGAGAGGCCACAGGTGGAGCTTGTAACCACGGATCCCTGACCCATGCGCAAGTGCAAAGGGTTGGCCTGAGTGCAGGGGTCTGAGTGTCGCATTGGTGGCTGTGAAAGGCTAGTGTTGGGATGACCGCAGACAGGACCCTGAGGGTTGGCAGATTACCCCCCAAGAGTACAGAATCGCCAATCCAAGAGTTAGTGCATCCTGGGGGTGGATGTGGTGTAGGGGCTGTGGCTGAGACCACAGCAAGAGAAGGCCAGGAAGCCTGATGGCTCCTGGGGTGTGACAGCAGATGCCCGAGTGCCCCTGTCTACCCGCTTTTAAGGGAGGTGTCATGGGGACGCCAGCAGAAGCCGAGAAAGAAGCCAAAAACGGACAGAAGCCGAGAGAAGAAGAAAAGCAGAGAGAATGCCAGAGAGCCCAGAGAGAATGAGGATTTGCTGGGGGCTGGGAGGACTGCCAGCCTCCCGGCCCCCTAGCACCCCTGCTTGCCATATGCCTGGTAAATCTAAATAAAAGACCTGTAAATGCCACTGAGGACTCTAACTTCTCTTTTACCTGGTCTGCTGGATCATAGAAAACCTGCTCAGTGTCCCTATCCTGCCCCAACAACCACTTCAAGGAATGCAACAAAATCTAGCACCAGAATGTTCCCGCTCACTGGCCAGCCTGAACCCGAGGCTGAGTCATAACGCCAGCAGGCACAGAGCAGGTTCTCTATGATCTGGGCAGATGGGTGAAGGAGGGTCCTGGAGCCCTCGGTAGCTTTTTCCAGCTTTTATTGAGCTTTTTACAAGACAGGGGGACTGGGGGTACAGGGGACTGGAAGGCCTCCCAGCCCCCAGCAAGTCTTCACTCTTTCTGGTGTTCTCTCATGGTCTCTGATTCTCCTTTGCTGCTCTGCTGTTCTTGTTCTCTGCTGGCATCCCTGTGACGCCACCCTTGTAAGCCCCGTCTCAGGCCAGGTGTGCCCACCTATGCAGGCCCACACCCTGCTCCAGGTGCCCACCATCAAGCATGCATGTAGGACCGCAGGGATCCATCATCAACGCTGATGGCGGGAGGGCAGAAAAGCTTGATAATTTTTCACTTACCCTACAATCCACCCCCTCAGGGTTTTCTGCCATACAATCGATATACAAGTTTCCCTTGGAAAATTAGGAACACTGCAGCCATGATGCACAAAAGTAAACAAACCAACTGAATACATCAATGCAACAGAATACAACAGAAATCAAATAAGTCCAGGCAGGGCACCTACCTAGGGGCTAAAGACAAGATAATTGCAACAGCAGATGATCCACTATGCCTGCTGCCGAAGGCGCTGCTCATGCGGGTAGACAGGGGCACTCGGGCATCTGCTGTCACACCCCAGGAGCCATCAGGCTTCCTGGCCTTCTCTTGCTGTGGTCTCAGCCACAGCCCCTACACCACATCCACCCCCAGGATGCACTAACTCTTGGATTGGCGATTCTGTACTCTTGGGGGGTAATCTGCCAACCCTCAGGGTCCTGTCTGCGGTCATCCCAACACTAGCCTTTCACAGCCACCAATGCGACACTCAGACCCCTGCACTCAGGCCAACCCTTTGCACTTGCGCATGGGTCAGGGATCCGTGGTTACAAGCTCCACCTGTGGCCTCTCTTGGGTCCCCTCTTGGTCTTGGGCCACACCACAAGTCTCGTTTCCCACCCATCCCCCAAGGATGGGTTCCTCAGCTCCTAACCCTCAACAACAAAGAGGGCATCACCCAGAGGTGATTTTAGAGACTCACTGGACTTCTTTAACATACTTAGGCTGCTTAACAGCTGCTCAGGGCTTCCCAATCTCAGCACCAGCTTTTGCCTTATCTAAGCTGGCTTTCTCGCACATCTCGTCTGCCTGGCTGCAGAGAACTTGGCAAGGGCTCTTCCGTCAGCCAATCTTCGGCTCTTCTCATGCCTACCCCTTCCTCTACTCTGGCCATTGCCAGAGCTGTGGCCCTGGAAGTGCCAGGCAGTGCTTTTGGCCACCAAGGCCCACCAGCCATGCCTTGATTTTCGTCGGCTTATGGGCTGGCAGATGTGTGTTTTCTTCTAATTACCACCGGCCTCTCCAGATCTGGCTCCTAGTCTCCTGCTCCAGAGAAGTCCTGGGGACCCAGCAGTGCAGCCTCTCAGCAGCCTGGGTCTTCCTTGCCCTTGCAAGATACCTTGGCCAGTTTGGTGCACTGCCCGCCAGGGCTTGAGTCACCCTCAGATCTGCCTTTAGGGGAGTTCATGTCAGTGGTGAGTTAGGGGTGGGAATGAGCCTCCTCGCATCCTCCGCAAGACCCAGGTCTGGGAATCCAGCCTGCTCTCCTTGAATGGCTCCAGGTCCCTGGTGTCCTGGCCTCTATGCTCGCTCATGTGCCGTACATTCCCCTCCTGCAGGCGAGGGCGGCTGGAGCCCAGTGGAGCTGGCCCAGTGGTCTCCTGGTTGGAGGAGAAGGACCCCTTCAGTACGATGAAATGTCCAGTGGCAAAGCAGCAAGTTCAGCTCCTGAGCAGTCATATGTCTCGGATTTGGAGCTCTCCAGGAACCAGGCCCCCAGGTGTCTCAATTCCAGGCGCCCCAGTCCCAGCAGCCAAGGCTTCAGAGACCCCACCTTACTGGCTTCAGGTTGGGGGGCAGTCTGAGTCCCGCTGGCTTGGACACAGGCAGGTGTCTGGTTTCCTCTAGGAGCAGGCGACACAAACCATCCACGTAACTGCCAGCTGGGCAGATGCTGCACAGTCGCTCTTACTGCAAGCCCCAACTGGCTCCCCGCTTCAGAGAGCGCCAAGAATGTGCTCTCAGTTGTGTCCCCTTGAGGGATTCCTGGGCCTGCCCACACCATTCCCTCCCTCATCCTGGCTAAAAGCCAGAGCCCCTTCCACCCAGCCTCACCCTGGCCTCCAGGGGGAATAGGCTCCACAGCATAGCTTGAGGTTTAGAATGAGGCAGTATCCTGAGCCTCTATACCCCAAAACCTGCACATGCCTAGTTCAGTACCCCAGTTCCACTGCCTCTGGTGGGGCCAGCGCCTCGCCTACCAACCTGGCTATTCTGTGGGTAGGACTGCCCCTTCCCTAGCAGCTTGCCACTCCAGAGATTCAGAGGGGGACCCAGCCTCACGGCGCGCAGTGTCCAGGGTCTGCTCCGTGACGTGTCTCCACCAGCCTTTCCACCACCTCTGGCTTCAGGAGGAAGGTGTGGCTTGATGCCAGCCACTGCTGGCTTGTCCCAAGTGCTCACTACCATGGTCTGGTTCCTGGCCCGGGGCTTCCC